AACAAAGGAGGAGGCTACAATGCTTGATAAGAAATGTACGCATTATCCTGCCCATGTAATTGTAACCCCTCTGTACAGTATGTTCACAAATAAAATTAAATTTAAAAAAACAAAAAAAGAAAGAAGGCCAGTATTAAATTGTGTGTATGCGTGTATACATGTGTGCACACTGTCCCTTAGCTTTTTTTGCTCAAGACTAGCCCTCTACCACTTGAACCACATCTCTATTTCCAGCTTTTTTGATAGCTAATAGGAGACAGAATCCAATGAATTTTTCTGCTCAGGGTGGCTTTGAACCATAATCCTCAGATCTCAGCCTCTTGAATAGCTAGAATTACAGGCCTGAGCCACCGGCACCCAGACACTGATGTATTTTCAATGGGACTGTATCATACAGCAGGCTAATTTTGGATGTATGCCTCCACATCACTCCTGCTTAATTCAGGACAGGAGAGAAATGGCCATCCTAAAATGCCCTCAGTTCTAAATTTCAAATAGAATATGTCTATAAAGCGAACTCAGTAAGTACTGCAGTACTTAGTGAGAGTATGATTTGCATGGCTGCCGGAAATCTGAGCATTAAATTTCCTACCCCAGAGGTTACTTAAATCCCCTTATTAGGCAATGTTGAACTAAGCAAATTAGAATCTGCAGGCTACCTCTTAAATTTGTGGGTAAATTCTGATTCCCTCCCCTCCGCTCCCCTCCCCACAACACACCAAAACCCATACGATACAGTATGTCTTTAAGCATCACAAAACCAAAGCCTGAGAAATATTTATATGAATAAGGGCATGAGCCACCTCTGGGTCTTCCCTGGGATTTTCTGCAGGCAGGTAAGAGCCCCTTTCAAAGAGACTGTTACATGAATGGTTTCTCACATCTGGGTAAATAAAGTGCTAACCACATGTGGTTAGAAATCCGTAGGTGAAAATGTACTTGGGGGAGGGCTGGAAATGAACCTTTCTCTGATGGACTGGTTAATTTCCTGAAAGGACTCAGAGATGAAAAGTCCTTCGGGAAAGAATGTCTCCACTGTGGCATAGCTTAGAAACAGAATACCAGATCATACGCGGGGCTGAAAGGCTGGGCCTAGAACTGGACCCGCACTCCGCACTGAACTCTCCAAGGGTTTGCAAATCCAGTGAGTGCTGGCCAGCACGGGGCTCTGCTGTAAATCTTGGGCTCACATCCCATTAAGGAAGCTGGGCCCTTGCCAAAGGGCGGAAGCCTCCAGAAAGCATTCGTGTGCCCGCATGGACAAGACAACAGCAATTCTTACAAGAAGGAAAAATGGTTTTTACCTCCCTAAAAATTAGCTATGCCTGGTTAGCGATTCAGATGCAGCCTTGTTCCTTGGCAGGACTCTCAGGGGCAGAAGTGACCTCACTTAGCCAAAAATGCTCTCCCTTCTTCTATGCAAGAGGGACTAACTCCAGCTCAAAGGGCCTGGGGGAGGGAGGGATGGGGGCCCAAATAGACTGAAATACTTCGCATAACAATTCAATTCTATTACAAGCGGAAAGCTGTTTTCAGAGGCTAGTTGATTTTTTTTTTAATTATCTTTAAGTAGTTGTACAAAGGGGTTTCCATTTCTATCTATGACAATGCATCTTGGTCAATGTCACCCCTTCTATCATTCTCCCCTATCTTTCCCAACCCCACCCAGCCTGTCAGGTTACTTGGTCCCATTTTTACATATATACATTCAATATTATGACAGTCTTTTGCCTACCCTTCCTCTCTCTCCATCTGCCCCCATCCCTTTAGTCTCTTCTCCCCCCACCCCGCCCCCACCGCCCCCAGTCCCAGATAACATGTTTCAGCTTCTAGTATCCATTTAGTGAAAGTATAGTTGGAGAGTTACACTACTGGAATCCACTCCTGAGTATACCATACATACATACTTTAGTCAGTTTGTGTATTTATGCTTCTTCATATGTTTACAATTTAGATCTAACTTCCACATAGGACAGAAAACATGTGCTGTTTGTCTCTGAGCCTGACTTCATTTATCGTGATATTTTCCAGGTCTACACATTTCTTGGCAAATGACATATCATTTTTCTTGATAGATGAGCAACATTCCATTGTGTAGGTGTATGTATGTTTAGTATGTTATATATACATAGTGTATAAATATGTATATATGTGTATATATTCATGCATAAGCACATTGTGTGCATACATGTGTATAGTGCATATATATATACATTTATGAACACACATTCATCCATTAAAAAGCAACTGGGTTGTTTCCATAACTAGGCTATGGTGAATAGTGTAGTATTAAATACAGATACCCAAGTGTCTTTACTGTATTCTGATTTACAATCTTTTGGGTAAATACAGCCAAGATTGGTATGACTGGATCTTAGAGTCACCCTAAGTTTTGTTTTCTGAAGAAGCTATTTGATTTTATTAAGTGGCTCTCTTCACTACTATTTTTTCCCCATCTTGAGTTTTTGTAGGAATCCAGTACCACTGCACTTAGGAAGCTGGGGGTAGGGTGAACCTGGAACTGTCCACGAATGAGTAATGAATTAGATTATAGGCTGACACATCAAATTCTGAGGCCACTAAAGAAGCTAATCCAATCAGAGTGGCATATTAAATAAGAGGAGGAAATCTGATCACAAGAGGAGATGGAGGTGCGTGCATAGGGAGAAGGCCATGTGGTGCAGAGAGGGTAACTGTCCACAGCACGCAGAGAGACCTCAAAAAAACAAAAACCAAAAACCAAATGTGAACGCTTTGACTTTGGACTTTCAGAACTTTCAGGAAATAATATCTCTTGTTTATAGAGATCTGGTCGGTGATACTGTTACAGCAGCCTTTAGCAAACTAATAAAAAATGTGAGTAGAAAACGTATTTCATTTGGCACCCATAAATCAAAAGCCACCATTGGCTGCCATGATGTTGAAGGCTTCATTTGACATGCAAGGGGTTCGTGGTAGGTGACTGAGTCAAGTTTACCTGTAAAATGACTTGAGACAAGTGGTAGAGCGCTCGCCTTGAGCTGAAGAGCTGAGGGACAGCGCCCAGACCCAGACAGAGTTCAAGCCTCACAACCAACAAAAAAAAATTAAACTAAATTAAAATAAGACAAGCCAGGATTGCAACAAGTTTCCTATTTTAGGGTTCTGTCTGCTCATGACACTCATCTTTCATGGTATTTTCTTTTTTTGGAGGGGGGAAGCAATATTGGGGTTTGAACTCAGGGTGTTAAGCGCTTGCTTAGATTTTTCACTCTGTAGTGGTGCCCTACCAACTTGAGCCACAGTTCCACTTCCAACTTTTGGCTGGTTAACTGGAGATCAGAATCTCATGAGCTGGGCACCAGTGGTTCATGCCTGTAATCCTAGCTACTCTAGAGGATGAGATCTGAGGATCCCGGTTCAAAGCCAGCCTGGGCCGGAAAGTCCCTGAGACTCTTATCTCCAATAGACCACTAGTAAACCAGAAGTGCCGCTGTGGCTCAAGAGGTAGAGTGCTTTCCTTGAGCTGAAGAGCTGAGGGACAGCGCCCAGGCCCAGAGTTCAAGCCCTACTACCAACCAAAAAAGAAGCCTCACGGACTTTTCTGCCCAGGTTGGCATCGACTTTGATTCTCAGGTCTCAGCCTCCTGAGTAACTAAGGTGATAGGAATGAGCCCCCAGGACCCAGCTTATACAGTATTTTTAGTAAAACTCATAATTCAAGATATTAGTGCATTTTTAAGGGTTGGCTTATATTCAAATGGTTTTCTTTCCTATGCCAAGAACTAATGAAGAAGGTGTCACAGAAATGTTATTTCAGTTTAAGAGAAAAAGGACACATGCCAGGATTTAAAAAAAATAATAATCTAGAGAAGCAAATGCTATGCCATGTTTCTGTGTCTGCCTAATAAATGTGTTCTGTGAATACAATGCAATATATTCAAAGAGATATTGTAACTCAAAGCTCAAGTTTCTTTAATTTTTTTTTTTTTTTTTTGGTCGTGGGGCTTGAACTCTGGG